GTTCATGTTCATTTTTACAAATCTATACAATTGGCCAGAATATGGTTGTTCATATTTACAAATCTATACAATTGGCCAGAATATGGTTGTTCATTTTTACAAAGCCATACATATTGTTTATGCAGTGTTGAGGAATGTGAAAGAACACCCTTGATTATTTTTACTGTGATAACTTATTTTGCTTTTGTAAGCCAACACTTTTGAGATCAGTCAATAAATGCTTCTGGTATTGACTTATATGCTGCCCCTGTCTTCATGTTGTTGCTGGACATATCTTTTTAAAAATGTGTGTAGGTCACCTAAATCATCAGAAAAATTGCCCCTCCTGAGAATTTTTTCAGGAGCCGCCACTGGGTGGGTGTAGTGGTGGAATCAAGCGCAGGACACCGAAGTATAGTCCAAAAGACTTTAGTACTATTTCCAACAAGGAAAATACGAACACACTTGCCCGAAGGCGAAACTACGCACGAAGGCGACAAAAATAAAGGCGCACTAAACATGTGCGTAAATGCTCCAACGCAGTGGAGTGAAGCTCAACCGAGCGAAAACGCAATATACAAGCAACACACGACAGAAAATAAATCAATCACACACAACACTAGACAAACACAACGAGAAACTTATAGGACACTAATTACGCTAAACGAGAACAGGTGTCACAACAAACAGACAAAAGCAAACGAACATGAAACATACAACGGTGGCAGCTAGTATTCCGGAGACAACGAACGCCGAAGCCTGCCCGAACAAGGAAGAGAGGCAGCCTCGGCCGAAACCGTGACAGACCTCTCCATCAATAGTGTGCAAAGCTGTCATCAAGGCAAAGGGTGGCTATTTGAAGAATCTCAAATATAACACACAGTGGGGAAAAAAAGTATTTAGTCAGCCACCAATTGTGCAAGTTCTCCCACTTAAAAAGATGAGAGAGGCCTGTAATTTTCATCATAGGTACACGTCAACTATGACAGACAAAATGAGGAAAAAAAATCCAGAAAATCACATTGTAGGATTTTTAATGAATTTATTTGCAAATTATGGTGGAAAATAAGTATTTGGTCAATAACAAAAGTTTCTCAATACTTTGTTATATACCCTTTGTTGGCAATGACACAGGTCAAACGTTTTCTGTAAGTCTTCACAAGGTTTTCACACACTGTTGCTGGTATTTTGGCCCATTCCTCCATGCAGATCTCCTCTAGAGCAGTGATGTATTGGGGCTGTCGCTGGGCAACATGGACTTTCAACTCCCTCCAAATATTTTCTATGGGGTTGAGATCTGGAGACAGGCTAGGCCACTCCAGGACCTTGAAATGCTTCTTACGAAGCCACTCCTTCGTTGCCCGGGCGGTGTGTTTGGGATCATTGTCATGCTGAAAGACCCAGCCACGTTTCATCTTCAATGCCCTTGCTGATGGAAGGAGGTTTTCACTCAAAATCTCACGATACATGGCCCCATTCATTCTTTCCTTTACACAGATCAGTCGTCCTGGTACCTTTGCAGAAAAACAGCCCCAAAGCATGATGTTTCCACCCCCATGCTTCACAGTAGGTATGGTGTTCTTTGGATGCAACTCAGCATTCTTTGTCCTCCAAACACGACGAGTTGAGTTTTTACCAAAAAGTTATATTTTGGTTTCATCTGACCATATGACATTCTCCCAATCCTCTTCTGGATCATCCAAATGTACTCTAGCAAACTTCAGACGGGCCTGGACATGTACTGGCTTAAGCAGGGGGACACGTCTGGCACTGCAGGATTTGAGTCCCTGGCGGCGTAGTGTGTTACTGATGGTAGGCTTTGTTACCCCACGGGGTGAGATCTTGTGTGGAGCCCCAGATCGAGGGAGATTATCAGTGGTCTTGTATGTCTTCCATTTCCTAATAATTGCTCCCACAGGTGATTTCTTCAAACCAAGCTGCTTACCTATTGCAGATTCAGTCTTCCCAGCCTGGTGCAGGTCTACAATTTTGTTTCTGGTGTCCTTTGACAGCTCTTTGGTCTTGGCCATAGTGTAGTTTGGAGTGTGACTGTTTGAGGTTGTGGACAGGTGTCTTTTATACTGATAACAAGTTCAAACAGGTGCCATTAATACAGGTAACGAGTGGAGGACAGAGGAGCCTCTTAAAGAAGAAGTTACAGGTCTGTGAGAGCCAGAAATCTTGCTTGTTTGTAGGTGACCAAATACTTATTTTTCGCCATAATTTGCAAATAAATTCATTAAAAATCCTACAATGTGATTTTCTGGATATTTTTTCTGAATTTGTCTGTCATAGTTGACGTGTACCTATGATGAAAATTACAGGCCTCTCTCATCTTTTTAAGTGGGAGAACTTCACAATTGGTGGCTGACTAAATACTTTTTTTCCCCACTGTATATTTTGATTTGTTGAACACTTTTTTGGTTACTACATGATTCCATATGTGTTATTTCATAGTTTTGATGTCTTCACTATTATTCTACAATGTAAAAAATAGTACAAATTAAGAAAAACCCTTGAATGAGTAGGTGTTATAAAACTTTTGACTGGTACTGTATATGAATGTGAATGGTGTGTATGGACAGTATATGAATAGAAAAGATGAATGCAGCAGTAGCTATATAGGATGAGCCATGACTAGAATACAGTATATACATATAAAGTGGTAAAACAGTTTGTAAACATTATTGAAGTGACCCGTGTTTAATGACTGAGCTCCAAAGGTATTGGGACAGTGACTCATGTTTTGTATTTTTGGCTCTGTACTCCAGCACTTTGAATTTGGGGGGGGGGTCAAAATCAAGAGTAACAGTCAGTATCTGTTGTGGCCACCAGCTGCATTAAGTACTGCAGTACATCTCCTCCTCATGGACTGCACCAGATTTGCCCGTTCTTGCTGTGAGATGTTACCCCACTCTTCCACCAAGGCACCTGCAAGTTCCCAGACATTTCTGGGGGGAATGGCCCTAGCCCTCACCCTCCGATCTAACATGTCCCAGACGTGCTCAATGGGATTGAGATCCGGGCTCTTCGCTGGCCATGGCAGAACACTGACATTCCTGTCTTGCAGGAAATCACGCACAGAATAAGCAGTATGGCTGGTGGCATTGTCATGCTGGAGGGTAATGTCAGGATGAGCCTGCAGGAAGGGTACCGCATGAGGGAGGAGGATGTCTTCCCTGTAACACACAGCGTTGAGATTGCCTGCAATGACAACAAGCTCAGTCCGATGATGCTGTGACACACCGCCCCAGACCATGACGGACCCTCCACCTCCAAATCGATCCCGCTCCAGAGTACAGGCCTCGGTGTAATGCTCATTCCTTCGGCGATAAACGCGAATCCGACCATCACCCCTAGTGAGACAAAACCGCGACTCGTCAGTGAAGAGCACTTTTTGCCAGTCCTGTCTGGTCCAGCGGCGGTGGGTTTGTGCCCATAGGCGACGTTGTTGCCGGTGATGTCTGGTGAGGACCTGCCTTACAACAGGCCTACAAGCACTCAGTCCAGCCTCTCTCAGCCTATTGCGGACAGTCTGAGCACTGATGGAGGGATTGTGCGTTCCTGGTGTAACTTGGGCAGTTGTTGTTGCCATCCTGTTCGGATGTACCGATCCTGTGCAGGAGTTGTTACACTTGGTCTGTCACTGCGAGGACAATCAGCTGTCCGTCCTGTCTCCCTGTAGCGCTGTCTTAGGCGTTTCACAGTACGGACATTGCAATTTATTGCCCTGGCCACATCTGCAGTCCTCATGCCTCCTTGCAGCATGCCTAAGGCACGTTCACGCAGATGAGCAGGGACCCTGGGCATCTTTCTTTTGGTGTTTTTCAGAGTCAGTGGAAAGGCCTCTTTAGTGTCCTAAGTTTTCATAACTGTGACCTTAATTGCCATACCATCTGTAAGCTGTTAAGACCGTTCCACAGGTGCATGTTCATTAATTGTTTATGGTTCATCGAACAAGCATGGGAAACAGTGTTTAAACCCTTTATAATGAAGATCTGTGAAGTTATTTGGAATTTTACGAATCATCTTTGACAGACAGGGTCCTGAAAAAGGGACGTTTCTTTTTTTGCTGAGTTTAGTTTTCGCGTCTGGGACAACTGTAGCATTTTAGCTAAGCCTAACTCTTTTCATTTTAGTCAATTAGCTGACGCTCTTATCCAGAGTGACTTACAGTTAGTGAGTGCATACATTTTCATACTGGCCCCCCGTGGGAAACGAACCCACAACCCTGGCGTTGCAAGCGCCATGCTCTACCAACTGAGCTACAGGGGACTGTAGGTTTTCCTAACCTTAATATAATTATCCTATCCTGCTAAGTTAATTATCCTAACCTGCTGCGTTAGTTCTCCTAACCTGTTATGTAAAGTCACTTCAGCCACGACCGTAGATGCCATTAGTTACAGAGAAACCAGCAGTGTCACCACACCAGTTCCAGAACGCAATCACTTTTCACCCAATGCAAACTACGCCCACCCTAGCGCCCGGGGCGGGATGAATCGAATCCCCTTAATCTTCTCCGCCTCTTTAGACTGTTAAAGGAACGAAAGCTTTTCTGAGTTATTACATTTACATTTTAGTCATTTAGCAGACGCTCTTATCCAGAGCGACTTACAGGAGCAATTAGGGTTAAGTGCCTTGCTCAAGGGCACATTGACAGATTTTTCACCTAGTCGGCTCAGGGATTAGAACCAGCGACCTTTCGGTTACTGGCACAACGCTCTTAACCACTAAGCTACCTGCTTAATAATTGATATATAATATAATAATTGATAGGGTATAATTGGTATGTGGATCAATCAATCATGCGTATAATGATGCCATTTTGAGTGTCGTACAGGTGGGAAACAATTTTCACCTAACTTCACTTTTTGTTGTTATTTGTAGGCAAAAATACGATCGGTTACAGCAAAGACATAATATACATATTTACAATATTTACATTAGATGACACGGGTACATTATTAATACACAGACCCACATTTCCGGTGAAAGAAATCCTTCGCCGGAAAAGGAATGATGGAAAAACAGAAGCTGAACCGTCAAAACATAAACAGAGTTAGCACACACTCGTGAGCGCACACCGTCTTTAATTTCACTCTCTCTTTATACACGCACTTCTCATGTCGTGTGTTTTTACTCCAAGGTTTTCTATCCAAGGTGGAAGATCTAGCTAAGTAGTTTAGTAGGTTGAAGACAATAAATCTGCACCGAAGATTAGAACAAAATACGTACTGTAGCTAACTAGCTACGCTCGTCGGGCCTACGACTTGTAGTTAAGAGGTAACAGCTTTAGCTAGCATGCCAGCCATTGCTGTTTACTTAATGTAACTAGCGTGAAATTGGTCAAACTCCTGAACAACGTTGAACTAAATGTACCAAAATGTGTAAATTTGCTAATCTAATCAATCAACCGAATAGGTAGTTAACGTTATCTCTACAGCAGAATGGACATGGTGGCCTGTCAGCTGTTTTGTTAAATATTAGTGTTGCTGCAGCAGCTAGCTAAGATTAGTTTGACAGCTAACGTTAGCTACCTAACTTACTCCAACTCCAAACTACTGGCTGCAAGTCCTATACTAGCTAACTAGAGACTGGCAGCTAGTTTCATTTGTTAGTGTGCACTCGATTTAATTTAGTTGCTGATATGCTAGCTAGTTTGCAAGATTTCCAATCGTACCGTGACTTGAGAACATAATTCGTTCTTCAGTCACAGCTAGCCAACTAGCTGTCTTGAGTGACATGTCTTGCTACCTTGCCAGTCAGTTGTTTGGACATATTGCAATTATTGGCAATATATATATTATTAGGAGTCTTCAAAAGCAGCTGGCAGTCTAATTCATTTGACCCTGCCTCGGTTTCATTCCAGGCTCTCCTCCTGTCCACAGGAAGAGAGAATCAGGATGGCGGAGGCAGATGGTAAATCCAGTGTGCTTAACGGTGAGGGATCACATAGGCCTCACGGATCACACAGGCCTCACTGTTGGCCGACTGGGAATACGAACATACACTGTTGTGGAACTACTACTAGTAAGCCACACTACCAGAACTAGACTAATGTGAATGTGTGGTCATCTCTGTGTGTTTGTCAGGTGGGTCCGAGGAGCCAGATCCAGGAGAGGACCAACGTGGGGAGGGAGATGCTTCCACGGCCACAGAGGGACAGTCTGGCTCTCAAGCAGGTGATCATAGACTCAAACCAGAGAGACAGTCTGGCTCTCAAGCAGGTAATCATAGACTCAAACCAGAGAGACAGTCTGGCTCTCAAGCAGGTAATCATGGACTCAAACCAGTGCAGTATAAGAGTACTGTTGCTGTCATAGTCCAACATGTAGCCACAACACACAGGACATCATAACGTTGACATTATACACTCTACAAACTATTTGTTTTACAGTGGATACATTTCCTCCCCACTTCTTGACAGTAGCTCTTTTTACTCAATGTGTGACAACTTCCTCTTGTCCTCATGTTTCCCTCAGCTCCCAAAGAGGCAGGAGACAGTGCTAAGGACAAGCCAACGCCAGATGCAGAGGGTGAGAGGGTGCCTGGCGAGGGAGTGGAGGAAGAAGACATGGACGGCAGCGGCCTCTACTCCCTGAACGAGGAAGGGGAGCGAGATGGTGAGGGGGGTAGAAGAGAGAGAGTGAAGGAGAGAGATGCAGGAAAGAGGGCCGCCAGAAAGAGGAACCGCCCGAGCGGTGGCACCGCTCACCACTCCTCCAGCTCTGAAGAGGAGGATGATGATGAGGAGGAGGAAGACCAAGAAGAGGAAGAGGACGAGCAGGCCTTGGACGTGTGGCTGGGGGCGGAGCTGCGTGATCTCAGCAGGCCATCATGGCGGGCGGTGCCCTCCCTGCTGTTGAGGGAGATTGGCCGGGGCTCGCACCAGTTTGTGAGGCGTGTGTGTGGCGCGCGGGGGCTGGTCCAGAGGCTGGAGCTACAAGGGCGCCTGGAGAGACACACCGGCTGTGTGAACACCCTGCACTTCAACCCCTCAGGCACACGCCTGGCCTCTGGCAGTGATGACCTACGGGTTGTGGTGTGGGACTGGGCACGTCGTCGGGCTGAGCTGGAGTTTGACAGCGGGCATAAGAGCAATGTCTTTCAGGTGAGGAGGAGAACACAATCAGGCTGGTTGAGACTATAGAAAGGAGGGGAACACTTCCGGTGTTGTTGACAACCATTGAGAAACCATGTGAAAAATGTGAAAGGAAAGCTAGAAATAGGACCTTTGAGAGATGTTGAAACGTACAGTTGAAGTCGGAAGTTTACATACACTTAGGTTGGAGTCATTAAAACTTGTTTTTCAACCACTCCACAAATGTATTTTTAACAAACTATAATTTTGGCAAGTCGGTTGTGCATGACACAAGTAATTTTTCCAATAATTGTTTACAGACAGATTATTTTACTTATAAGTACAGTATCACAATTCCAGTGGGTCAGAAGTTTACATACACTAAGTTGACTGTGCCTTTAAACATCTTGGAAAATTACAGAAAATGATGTCATGGCTTTAGAAGCTTCTGATAGGCTAATTGACATCATTTGAGTCAATTGGAGGTGTACCTGTGGATGTATTTCAAGGCCTACCTTCAACCTCAGTGCCTCTTTGCTTGACATCATGGGAAAATCAAAAGAAATCAGCCAAGACCTCAGAAAATAAATTGTAGACCTCCACAAGTCTGGTTCATCCTTGGGAGCAATTTCCAAACGCCTGAAGGTACCACGTTCATCTGTACAAACAATAGTACGCAAGTATAAACACCATGGGACCACGCAGCCGTCATACTGCTCAGGAAGGAGATGCGTTCTGACTCCTAGAGATGAACATACTTTGGTGTGAAAAGTGCAAATCAATACCAGAACAACAGCAAAGGACCTTGTGACTACGGTTTGCAACTGCACATGGGAACAAAGATCATACTTTTTGGAGAAATGTCCTCTGGTCTGATGAAACAAAAATAGAACTGTTTGGCCACAATGACCATTGTTATGTTTGGAGGAAAAAGGGGGAAGCTTGCAAGCCAAAGAACACCATCCCAACCGTGAAGCACGGGGGTGGCAGCATCATGCTGTGGGGGTGCTTTGCTGCAGGAGGGACTGGTGCACTTCACAAAATAGATGGCATCATGAGGAAGGAAAATTATGTGGATATCTTGAAGCAACATCTCAAGATATCAGTCAGGAAGTTAAAGCTTGGTCACAAATGGGTCTTCCAAATGGACAAAGTTGTGGCAAAATGGCTTAAGGACAACAAAGTCAAGGTATTGGAGTGGCCATCACAAAGCCCTGACCTCAATCCTATAGAAAATGTGTGGGCAGAACTGAAAAGGCGTGTGAGAGCAAGGAGGCCTACAAACCTGACTCAGTTACACCAGCTCTGTCAGGAGGAATGGGCCAAAATTCACCCAACTTATTGTGGGAAGCTTGTGGAAGGCTACCCGAAACGTTTGACCCAAGTTAAACAATTTAAAGGCAATGCTATCAAATACTAATTGAGTGTATGTAAACTTCTGACTCACTGGGAATGTGATGAAAGAAATAAAAGCTTAAATAAATAATTCTCTCTACTATAATTCTGACATTTCACATTCTTAAAATAAAGTGGTGATCCTAACTGACCTAAGACAGGGCATTTTTACTAGGATTAAATGTCAGGAATTGTGAAAAACTGAGTTTAAATGTATTTGGCTAAGGTGTATGTAAACTTCTGACTTCAACTGTACCTTTCTTCCTCCAAAGGCAAAGTTTCTTCCCCACAGTGGAGATTCAACTCTGGCCATGTGTGCCCGGGATGGTCAGATCAGAGTGGCTGAGCTCTCTGCTATGCAACGCTGCAAGAACACCAAGAGAGTGGCTCAGCATAAAGGGGCAGCACACAAGGTATGGAGACAGTGTGTATACCTCAGGAGTGTGGGTGTATTAGAGATGAGTCTGGCCACTGGTCCTACTAGCCTGACTTTGGCGGCGTCTCAAACCACACCCTTTCTTCCATACTGTGGGGAATGGATTGTCATTTAAGATGCAGACGTCCTAAGCCTTTTTTTTAGCTGCGAGCTGAGTTGATTTAAGTGTGTTGTGTTTACTCTGTGTGTGTCAGCTGGCCCTGGAGCCAGACTCTCCCTGCTGTTTTCTGTCGGCTGGGGAGGATGCCGTGGTGTTTGGCATCGACCTGCGCCTCGACCGGCCTGCCAAGTGAGTGACATCACGTCTGTCTGACATGCAAGTGTTAACGCCATTACTGCAAGATCGCCTGGACGTTACTGTACTAAGGCCATTCGTTTTCCTGACCGTGACCAGACCGGGAAAAACTTCAGTCCCAATGTAGAACATAACAGCCTTTTAACCCTTTTTCTACTATTTGTTTCCTCTTTTCCCTTTCTCTCAGTAAACTGGTGGTGGTGAAGGAGGGGGATAAGAAAGTGGGGTTGTACACCATCTTTGTGAACCCTGTCAACACACACCACTTTGCTGTGGGAGGGAGAGATCAGTATGTCAGGTTAGACTAAAAATCCCTCTTTTGTGTCCGTAAAGCAGAGGAAGTGGAACGTGCATTGTCTGGGATTCTCTCTTACCTCTCCTCACCTTCTATCTCTGTAGGATCTATGATCAGAGGAAGATAAATGAGAATGATAATAATGGCGTACTGAAGAAGTTCTGTCCATCTCACCTGGTGTCCAGCGAGTCCAAAACTAACATTACCTGCTTACTGTACAGTCACGATGGCACAGGTATAACACAAGGACTCAAGCACACTTTTATTCAGAAGTCGGAGTTCCTCTGGCTCTTGCTGTTATGACTGTCCTCATGTTTGTCGTCCCCATCAGTGAACAGAGCCACGTTCAGTTGCCTAACCTTCTCTAACGGTGCAGATAGAAATGTCATGAATAGAGCTTAGGTGATTCCTTATTTGACATATGAGAGGCATGTTTGTTCTACATAGCCTATCTTTACGTTCCAAAATGTTGCATCCTGCTGAATGCGCCCCATGTCTGTCTGTCTGCCTGTGTCTCTTCAGAGCTCCTGACTAGTTACAACGATGAGGACATCTATTTGTTTGACTCCAGCCACAGTGACGGTGCAGATTACTGCAGGCGATACAAGGGCCATCGCAACAATGCTACAGGTACTGGGTCAAAAGGGGGAATTAATGATTATGAACTAGTCAATTATAAGTAACACAAACACTAGTTAAATAAATTACAATAAATAAGTAACAAAATAATTCTCAATAATAGTAAAAAAGGATCATGGATCAATTCCCTCTCAAAAATAGTTTTATTTAACATGTCAGATTTGGTCAATAGCTCAAACAAAATTAAAGTAATGTTATAACTTGTACTTCTAGTATAATACTCTCCCTCTCTCTTTCCCTCCTCTCCCTCCTCTATTTTTCCATCTCACAGTGAAGGGGGTTAACTTCTATGGGCCTAGCAGTGAGTTTGTGGTCAGTGGCAGTGATTGTGGACACATCTACCTGTGGGACAAGGTCTCAGCTCGCATAGTCCAGTTCATGGAGGGAGACAGAGGAGGAGTGGTGAGAGGGTGGGATGGTGGGTGGGAAGATGTATGATGGTCAAAGGAAATGGCTTGAGATAATGGGCAGGCACAAGTAAAACCCTCAAACGAAATTGTACAGCATAAGTTTCACAGTTTTATGCTCACTCATCTGTCTGTCACTTGATTCTATCTCAACCTCTTCTCCTAGGTGAACTGCCTGGAGCCCCACCCTCACCTCCCAGGTCTGGCCACCAGTGGTCTGGATCATGATGTTAAACTTTGGGCCCCCACTGCCGAGAACCCCACAGGGCTCAAGGGCCTCAAAGATGTACGGTTGTTCATACCATTGATTCCACACACACAAACCTCAACATATCACTAATATCCCAAACATCCCACGGCATATAGTCTTGGATACTGCATACCAAAGCTGTTTTGATGTGACTGGTGTTGTGGTCGTTCAGGTGATGAAGAAGAACAAGCGTGAGCGTGACGAGGACACTGTTCGACATGGAGACCAGTACGACACACAGCTCCTGTGGTTCCTGATGAGACACATGAGAAACAGACGGTCCCAGAGGGTGAGTGGCACACACCATAACACTGTAAGGGAGTGTGTATCCTAGAACCCAACCGCAATGGGATTTCTGGATCAGATTTTAGTGAAAATATTTACAGATAACAGATATCTTTTTATGAATATAGCTGGAATGAAGAAAAAATAATAATCATCTTGTAGCACCAAAAATATGATTATTTTGTAAAAATGGAAAAACTGTTACTCTAGTGAAAGGAGGATGAACTGCACTGATTCCAGCAAAAAATGAGCCTGTGAAGACTGAGCTGCCTCATGCTAGCCTGCTGGAAAACCACGACATAGGACACATTTTCAATGTATGGGTGTTTAGCTACAGTATGTTTTCATCAATTGTAGGGCAGTAATTCTGTTGTCACTTGAAAGGGAAAAAATCAATCAAGCGCTGCTTTGTAACCTGTTATTATAATTTTGTTTTGTCTCTGGAAACATTTGAATGACAGCGCTTGAGGAATATCCTTTGCAAAGAGCAAATATAACACACCAGATTTCACAGGCTTCACTAAAGGGCTGTAATGTTAACATGACCACAGAATTGAGTGTTGTTAGCACGGCACTTGCTTTACATTTGGGCATAGCTTCCAATGTTTGTCACGACGCCAACACCCTACTATGACATGTCACGTAACAGTATATGGCCAGTGCTCATTTTTGGCAGTTTATTGAGCTGACAAGCTTCTATCTACTCAGCACTGATTGTAGAAGCAGTAACAGTTAGTTCACAGTAGTTCACTCTCCTCTCTGACTGGTGTAGTTGCGTTGGCTGATAGTGTCTGTCTTGCTGTAGGGCTTCAAGGCATGATAGCCTTATAGCTATAAAAGAGTGCCCTCTCCTGGACAAATAATGAAATGCAAAAAAATAATGTGAATTCTATAAGTGTTTTCCATGTTTATTGGTCCTTTTCAGTCGATTTTAAACGTCGACACAAATACATTGGTAAAAGGGCTAATATCGGCCAATTTTTATATAGGTAACGTCAACTATGTCAGACAAATTTGGGGAAAAAAAATTCCAGAAAATCACTTGTGGATTTTTTATAAATTTTATTGCAAAATTATGGTGGAAAATAATTTTGGTTCACCACAAACAAGCAAATTTTGGCCTCCAACCTGAACTTCTTCTTTAAGAGGTCCTCGTCCCCACTTTTACCGTTTTAAGGGGCACCTGTTGAACTTGTTATCAGTAAAAAAGCACCTGCCCAAAAACCTAAACAGTCCCACTCCAAACTCTACTATGGCCAAGACCAAAGAGCTGTCAAAGGACACCAGAAACAAAATTGTAGACCTGCACCAGGCTGGGAAGACTGAATCTGCAATAGGTAAGCAGCTTGGTTTGAAGAAATCAACTGTGGGAGCAATTATTAGGAAATGGAAGGCATACAAGACCACTGATAATCTCCCTCGATCTGGGGCTCCACGCAAGATCTCACCCCGTGGGGTTAAAATGATCACAAGACCGGTGAGCAAAAATCCCAGAACCATACGGGGGGACCTAGTGAATGACCTGCATAGAGCTGGGACAAAGTAACAAAGCCTACCATCAGTAACACACTACGCCGCCAGGTACTTAAATCCTGCAGTGCCAGACGTGTCCCCCTGCTTAAGCCAGTACATGTCCAGGCCCGTGCTAGAGTGCATTTGGATGATCCAGAAAAGGATTGGGAGAATGTCATATGGTCAGATGAAACCAAAATATAACTTTTTGGTAAAAACTCAACTCGTCGTGTTTGGAGGACAAAGAATGCTGAGTTGCATCCAAAGAACACCATACCTACTGTGAAGCATGTGGGTGGAAACATCATGCTTTGGGCCTGTTTTTCTGCAAAGGGACCAGGACGACTGATCCGTGTAAAGGAAAGAATGAATGGGGCCATGTATCGTGAGATTTTGAGTGAAAACCTCCTTCCACAAAGCAAGGGCATTGAAGATGAAACGTGGCTGGGTCTTTCAGTATGACAATGATCCCAAACACACCGCCCGGGCAACGAAGGAGTGGCTTCGTAAGAAGCATTTCAAGGTCCTGGAATGGCCTAGCCAGTCTCCAGATCTCAACCCCATAGAAAGTCTTTGGAGGGAGTTGAAAGTCTGTGTTGCCCAGCGACAGCCCCAAAACATCACTGCTCTAGAGGAGATCTGCATGGAGGAATGGGCCAAAATACCAGCAACAGTGTGTGAAAACCTTGTGAAGACTTACAGAAAACATTTGACCTGTGTCATTGCCAACAAAGGGTATATAACAAATTATTGAGAAACTTTTGTTATTGACCAAATACTTATTTTCCACCATATTTTGCAAATAAATTCATTAAAAATCCTACAATGTGATTTTCTGGATTTTTTTTCCTCATTTTGTCTGTCATAGTTGACGTGTACCTATGATGAAAATTACAGGCCTCTCTCATCTTTTTAAGTGGGAGAACTTGCACAATTGGTGGCTGACTAAATACTTTTTTTCCCCACTGTAGTCTTGGATACTGCATACCAAAGCTGTTTTGATGTGACTGGTGTTGTGGTCGTTCAGGTGATGAAGAAGAACAAGCGTGAGCGTGACGAGGACACTGTTCGACATGGAGACCAGTACGACACACAGCTCCTGTGGTTCCTGATGAGACACATGAGAAACAGACGGTCCCAGAGGGTGAGTGGCACACACCATAACACTGTAAGGGAGTGTGTATCCTAGAACCCAACCGCAATGGGATTTCTGGATCAGATTTTAGTGAAAATATTTACAGATAACAGATATCTTTTTATGAATATAGCTGGAATGAAGAAAAAATAATAATCATCTTGTAGCACCAAAAATATGATTATTTTGTAAAAATGGAAAAACTGTTACTCTAGTGAAAGGAGGATGAACTGCACTGATTCCAGCAAAAAATGAGCCTGTGAAGACTGAGCTGCCTCATGCTAGCCTGCTGGAAAACAACGACATAGGACACATTGTCAATGTATGGGTGTTTAGCTACAGTATGTTTTCATCAATTGTAGGGCAGTAATTCTGTTGTCACTTGAAAGGGAAAAAATCAATCAAGCGCTGCTTTGTAACCTGTTATTATAATTTGTTTTGTCTCTGGAAACATTTGAATGGCAGCGCTTGAGGAATATCCTTTGCAAAGAGCAAATATAACACACCAGATTTCACAGGCTTCACTAAAGGGCTGTAATGTTAACGTTACCACAGAATTGAGCGTTGTTAGCACGGCACTTGCTTTACATTTGGGCATAGCTTCCAATGTTTGTCACGACGCCAACACCCTACTATGACATGTCACGTAACAGTATATGGCCAGTGCTAATTTTTGGCAGTTTATTGAGCTGACAAGCTTCTATCTACTCAGCACTAGAAGCAGTAACAGTTAGTTCACAGTAGTTCACTCTCCTCTCTGACTGGTGTAGTTGCGTTGGCTGATAGTGTCCTGTCTTGCTGTAGGGCTTCAAGGCATGATAGCCTTATAGCTATTAAAAGAGTGCCCTCTCCTGGACAAATAATGAAATGCAAAAAAATTATGTTGAATTCTATAAGTGTTTTCTCCATGTCTTATTGGTCCTTTTCAGTCGATTTTTAAACGTCGATACAAATACATTGGTAAAAGGCTAATATCGGCCAATTTTAATATCAGTCAACCGATAAATTAGTCGGGCTCTAGTGTAAGCTTATTACTATGAAATTATTAACGGGGCACCACTTGCTATAAAGTCAACAAGAAACTATAAAAATAGTTACAATTATAACTACAGTTAACTTATCATTCTGAATGCAATTCAGTTCTTAAAATGACATGGCAATGCATTTTTGGAGACAGTAGATATTTTATGAAACTAAGATTTATTTAGAAATAATCAGGTAAAGTATTGAATGTACAGGACGAATGAATAAGAGATTATGATGGCAAAATGATGTACTAATGTGATAGGCTACAGAATATATATTTATTTATTTATTTAAGGGGGGGGGGGAGATGGATTACTGTTATACTATTCCAGGTATTCCTTAAAGAGGTAGGGTTTCAAGTGTCTCCAAAAAAAATCATATTCAAGATACTTAGAACTCATGGTTGATTTTGGGTTGTCATCTATGAGCAACACTAAAATGGGTTCTTGGTTGTAAGAGGTGAAGAGGGTAGTGGTCCTAAAGAAATAAGGGTGGTAAACAGGTGTATCATTCTGCCCAAAATCTACATTAAGGAGGACAGGTTTAGGCCGGTAGATAAAGGTGTCATCAATTAGGGGTTTAGCGGAAGCACTCCTGAATTGTAAAAAATAATATTTTGGAAGCTATAGAAATGCATTTATTAATGTTTACATTAGTTTTTGACACGCTTATTCTATTACAGACACCTTAATGCATACTTTTAAAATATATTATGTGAGCTAAACATAGAAAAAATAAAAAAAGTTCCTAAAAGTATTTTTTTTAGAATACTAATGTTACTGTCCTCACTACAACCAAAAAAAATTAGATGTAATTTTGTCCTCAACGATTAATTGAAATACTGTGGAACTTCATTCTTTCCTTTGGAGGACTGCTCCTACTAGGGATTGCCAATATGGCCGACCAGTAGCTTCAATACAGCATCAGCAATCCAGGGTTTATATAAATCATTGGTCCTCCCTCGACCAATTCTAACAGAGTGAACTTTGAATGCTGGTTGACTATGAGGAACTTACCCTCGAGTTTTACAAACAAGATTAAAAGATTATAACACACAACCATGAATTGTTTTATGCTTAACCAATAGGTTTCTGAGACTACCTAAAATGCAGGTCACCCCGCTGCAACTCTTTCTGTTGCTTTGTAAAGGGGCTGTAACTGGTTAAAATTGGCAGCAAACTATGCAGCTTTTGCCTCTTTAGGGACATCTTGTGTCATCTGGCAAATGGACTCTTGAGCAGTGTATTATAAGTCGTTCCTGAGAAGCTATACCTCTGCAAGAGTTGCATGTACACATAAAAGAGCTTGTTGGCTCTGGGAAATACACACTCAAAATGATGACTGGTTCAACATTGGGTATGTACTGTAAATACAAAGGGCTTTATGGCCCTGGAAAAGGTGTGCACCAGTTATATTGGGTGACAGTAAGAAATCACTTTAAGTGAGTTTCAGTCAATTAGATGGCTGAAATCAAAAAGGGAAATTAGACTCATATGGTATGCGCAGAGATTAGTGTTAACTAAAAGTCTACTCATACAGCCTGGGAAAAGAGAGTGTTATTAACCAGGTGAGCTTTAACGCCCCCTAACTTTCCAGATGGGTTATGGACCTGGGGTATGACAGGGAAAAAGGTTCCCTCTTTCGTTCTCCCCCTTCACCTCAAGTGGAGGTTGTGTACCCTGTCATGCATAGGCTTTGATCACTAGTGATGCTAATATGGTCACGAAACAAAATCAGTACGCCGAACTTAAAGAGCAGGGCACTTTCAGACACAGTAGTTATAGATTTTCACCTCATGTAAGTATAAATCAAAATTATGGCTCAAGGTCAAGTGACACTAGTATGTGCGATGGAGGTTGAGCGGAGTCATTTTACTATCAGAAAACCATTAGCAATACCAGCGGACACTGAATATTAATTGGGTAAAACAAAATTGTACACCTAATTCAAAGAGAAAGGTACCGAAAGTCACAGGTTATCACCTACTACAAGGGTCCAAATTTAAATTATGACTCAGTCTACTGTCGTCTCGGCGAGGGAGGTTTTCACTCAATTAGCAAGGGGACTGAAACATTATCACCAGTAGGATCACAAGGGATTGTTTTTTAATTTTTATAATGGTGTTAGATCATTCAACACCAAAGCCAAATTCAAAGCTTATGCAGTTTACACACTTAAAAAGTATTAAGGATGACAAACCTCTAAGGTAAACCTTAGAACATGTCACAAGAAAAATATAATGTGCCTACACTCTGGTTGGAGGTCAGTGGCTGAGACGGGGAGAGAGAAGAGTTTGAGCTCTTACATTCAACGCTCCTCTACACCACCCACCACGTCTCGTCTCTATTGCAGTAATCAAACCAGTACATCTTTCTCTCCAGTAGTAACTACAGTGACTTTCGTGTTGTGCATTCTCTGTCTCGCTCTCTCTTTCTCCCTCTTTATTTCTTTCCCTCTCTTTTTTCCTCTCTCTCCCTTTCCTAGACACGTCGGGAGGGTGCAGAGGGAGACACTGATGAGTCATGGAGCTCTCCAGATTCCTCTGATGAAGAGAATGGAGGGCCGGACCACGTCCAGTGCATGTCCTCCTGAGCCAAGGAGATATACAAGCCACACACACACTCTGCATTGCCCTAGTATTGATGCATATACGCAGGCACTATCGACACACTGGCACACACATGAACACTGAGAGACCATGAAGTAACAGTAAAAAGGTATTCACACACAGACATACAAACAACGGAGGGAGGGAGGGAGGGTGACTGTAGGATAGACTGAGACACACAAAACCTCACTTCTAATCAGACGGAGTGAATTGTAGATAGTTTTGTTCATGCACAGTCTGAGGGGAGGGGGCTTATACAAACACTCTCAACCCTGATTTTGATCTAACCTGTATTCGAGGGAGGCTGACAAGTGCTCACATCGTTACACAACCAGTTAGACTCATCTACACACATACATATGCTCTGCCAAGCCAGAGAACATTAACACTTCAACATCACATCTCACAATCAGTTACCCATCATCTGCAGTGCACACGTTACCCCGCTCTCTTTCCCCTCTACTTTTCTGTCAGGGGATTTGAGGAGAGGAGGCAGAAAGGAGATGAATGAAATGTACCCTCCGACCTTTTAATCAACCCTCAAATGTGATTCACTCCATAGATTTTTTGCAAGGGCCAAACCAGAGCCCCATAACAACCTCTCTAGGTTAGCCTCAGAACATCAGCATGTGGTCAATCAGCTTAGCTTGCAGATGGCTCATACCTGGTGACTGCATCCCTTATATTCTGCTGTGTTTTTTTTCACATCCCTCAGCCCAATGCCTTGCCCCCCCCCCCCCACCTCCCACGCTACTGAGTGCACTTTAATCAGGGATGTGTGGTTTGAGTTTCTTAGACAAAGTGTGCACTGGGGGGCCAACCATGCATTGTAATGAAACATTGGCTACATTGGCTCCCCAGAACACCTCAGCAAAATAAAGGTGTATTCTTGTAAAACGAGACAGATATTTGACTAGTTTAGTTTGGGATTTGCACTTAGCAGGAGTGTCTTAAACAGCTCCAGCTGAAAGATTCCCTCTGCTTCCACCAACCCCCTCCCTCCTTCTCCTTTACAATCCTCCTGGATGAGCACCCTGACCTAAGCCTTTACCTCCATAAAGGCCTCAGCCTCTACCTCCCTAAAGGCCTTCCCACGCTGTACGTCAATCTGTATTTTACGATTATTACATGTCACACTGTGCGATGTTACCAAATTAAAATCTTGATATCAACCTGGCCAGATTGTACAATTTGCTTCAGTTCTGTCATCACATTCTGCGATTGGCTATGTCAGCTGCAGCAGTGTATTTGATCTGTGCATGTGCCAGCACCAGCAGCGCAAGTCTCCCAAGCGAGTTCCGAGACAATTAAAGTATGCATCTTAGAAATAGTTTTCGCATACAAACGTATATATGTCCGAACTCAGAATCAAATAGGCTTCCCAAAAATAACATGGTCTTTGGGGTATAACTTTTATTTTGATTGGGGATTTTTGTTCATTTATCAAAGTCCCATCAGGTAGCCTGATTTCAGATGTCATGTAAACAAGATTATTAGGGAAATCGTTCTTCTTGCAAAGCATGTAAATGTTTAAATCGAACTATTATATTAATCTGATTTATTGTGTGCATAATCAGTGTCGGCCGTGTTCCTATTGGTCGTAAAACCAGCCACACTACACGATAAAGGCTCAACATTTCTGACACTGCTAGAACTTTGTCGAAGACATAGACCCTGTCACACTGAACGAGCCAAGATGTCCGACAATTGTTTACGACCTAAGAATTTGACCACGACGTGGATATTTTGTCTGGGACGACAAAATCGTGGCATAAAATGGCTAAAGTCGTAGTCTGTGCGAGCCTTAAGCCATCTTCTTTCTCAGAGTACACGTCATTGAGCTGGAGGGCTGCTGAGGAACACCTGGATGGTCTCATTGCATAATGGATATATACTGTACATCCAAAAGGATTCTCACTTTTCTGTTTGAGGAACCCTGATGAGAAGGACGTAAGCCTCAAGTCCTGCTACCTACATCCACGGCTCATGCCAGCTGTCAGTCTCTGCCAGAGATCAGACTCCGTAATGGAGAAGCGGGGATTTCTCTGGAGATTAGGGCCCGTATCCACAAAGCATCTGAGTAGCAGTGCTGATCTAAGATCTGTCCATATGATCTTATTCATTATGATCTAAAACTGATCCTGGATCAGCACTCTTACTCTTAGATGCTTTGTGGATACGGCCCAGATGTAGAGACTGCTGTTTGGCTCTCTTTGTGGGCTTTCAGAAGCCATTCCTCAATCTGTATTTTAGGCCATCTGCCCTGTCAGACCTTCCTGGGGGACAGGAGGAGGAAGGATTGATCTGCTTGCCAGTTTTTGTTTTTAGAGCGATAAAATCCAGCTTTTTCTCTTTTTGTATGAGAATTATAGAAGTTTGATTAATTTATGTACATATATTAAAACTGTAAAGAAGTCATCTTTAGCAATGTTTGATTGGTATTGATGCAGAGGTTTATATTATATATGAGGACAAAGTACTTTTAAAATGAAGATACAAGGATGGCTTTAGTTTTTTCTTCTATACATTATATCCCCAATTGTTACAGTATATCGGTAGGATTCAGTTAAACAATGAATCAAGTTTGGTTCCTTCTCATTATCAATTTACAATTTTCTCCTTTCACGATCTTGACTGTTTGGTAACAGCCGTATTCAGACTATCCAGCTGGCTATTTTTATTTGTTATTGTATACATCTTTAGGCTTTTGATCAATGATTTATCCCAGTGCTGCCTAATATTGTGTTCTACCGGTTCAGTTGGAAACATGTAAGATTTGTGCAATAAACAGAAAACTGTCCCTTGTGTTATTTTGACATTGGTTGTTTTTAAACTAGTTCATGGATCAGGCCAGCTCTCTTATCTCACTTTTAAAGTAAGCTCAACAGAGAAGTTTTCATTTGATCCACACATAGATTAAATGTTTTGTCTGTCAAGAGTACTACAATTGGAAGTCTTCAGCAGCCAGATGCAAAAACACTTTTTTTATTCCAACAGCTGAAGACACTTAATGTATGATTTCAGTGTATAATTTTAATGAGCTATCTTTTTCATTCTCCTTTCTCCTGTCTTTATTACTTATTTTGTTTTATGATGTGAAGCACTGTTACTTGTTTTGAAAAGCACTATATAAATACAATTATTATTAACTAGAAAGGAACAAAATGATTTAGAGCGAAAAGGTAGAGAAAGGTAGAAATCCTTACATTACTCATGATTGTATAGTGTCTTTTGCCTCAGCTTGCCCGAGGTATAGGGGACCGAACAAGAATGTATATCTGATAGACTAACATTACTGGAAGCCAGGTGGTCTGTGTGCTTTAGCCATCTCTTAGGAGTTGGCTAATGCACAAACTGATCTGGCTAGTTGGCGAGAGGCTACCCACATACTTGCTCAAACAAAAATCCACACACCCTTTAGCAAACCACTGGCTTTTTCTTGTCAGCAAGATAAAGACATGAATTAAGAAAATATTTGAATCAATATCTTCTTCACTGATGCATACCTGGGATACTATGTTGGCAAATAACTATGGGTCATTACCTTGTCTCAGAGCTCTCCTTTTACCGTAAAAGCAAATCCAGGAGTGTTGGGTCCGAGCCAAAGTAAAGTTTATTGCCGTGTATGCATAACAGTAGCCTAGTTAAACAGTGACCATATTATTGAAATAACAGTGTTTGCTACCTTTTCGATTCTCAGCATAAAAGCTCAGGCTCCATATGTATGCCCACAAATACCGCACATTCCCAAATACTCAACTCTAAACCTTGTCTCATCAACTACTGCAACTCTTAAGACACAAAGATGAGACCTGAAATATGCTTGACTTTGATATGCTCCTTAATTCTCTGCCTTGTCTGCAGTGGTAAGTCCCTGGTGTATGTTCATATTTATGATAGGCTGTGTGACTCCTTAACGTGTTGAGCAATATAATCATACTTTGATAGAAAATAAAGCTATAACAATAGTGTGTATATGACTATTAGTAAAAGCAAAAGAGTGACAGTTGTTTTTTTCTGAACCCTAGCTTTGCCTCAGACCTGTACAGAGCCATAGATACTTGTCTTTATGCTGTACCTATATTAATGCTATGTTCAAACTATCTTGCACACTTCTGCCAATTACACACGCACACACCCTCATGTCTCCCTCTCTCTCTCGCTCTCTCGCTCTCTCTCTGTCTCTCAGTAGTCTCATCTGGGGTTTCTGTCTGCAGTACTGATGGCATGTCCATTCGAGGAGGGGAGTACAGTCTCTCAAATGGACTAAATGTGGGCAGTGAGCTGTTGTACCACTGTCCTGATGGTTATTACCCTTACCCCAAACATATGCACAGATGTCTGGGCCATAATCGCTGGTCCCCAAGCCCCAGTCGACGAGGCAGTGAGTGCAGGGGTGAGTATGGTGAATTGATGTTCAGTTTGGATAACTTAATTCTGTACTCAGATCTGTCTGCTGTTCATGATAACACACAATGTAGCACCTCAACCCCTGAGGATCTTTGACAACCATCCCCAAAAGGTCCACCACTCTTGCCCAATCTACCTTCTCATTCAAAGCAACAAAGAAATGGAATGCCATTCCCTCCTCTCTGAAAGCGTGTAGTAGCTTCCAAGCCTTTCTCGTCTGAGGCAAAAAATTGATCAAGTCCAATCAGACATGTTCACATTGATTTAAACCTTTTTTTTATGTAACAGAAGACACATTAAAACCAGACTGGACTCACTGGACAGACGTTTTATATTTTATGTAAATGTTTGCGCCTCCAATAAGTATGTTATGCTACATTTACAAATGCAACTATGGTATGGTTAATTAAGACAGAAACAAAAGTAGGGAGATTGGTCGGGGAGGATGGTTGGGCATGTACTGCGACCGTCTAGCAATCCAAAGGTTGCATGTTCGAGTATCGTTGGGGACAACTAACATTTTAGCTAACCCTTCCCCTAACCCAGGGTTAACCAAACTCGGCCCTGAGGACCTCAAGGGGTGCACGTTATATCATTAAGCTTTGATTGTTTTAAACAGCTGTGTAGTGCTAGGGCAAAAACCAAAATGTGCACCCCTTGGGGTCCCCAGGACTGAGTTTGGGGAACACTGCCCTAACCCTTATTCTAACCTTAACCCAATTCACATAACCTGCTATGTCAATGATCCTAACCTTTGTTGTTAGTTCTCCTAACCCTTTATGTAAAATCTCTAACCTTTGCTGTTAGTTCTCCTAACCACCTTAAATTCTCCTTGTAATTCTCCTTTGTTATGACGCAACAAGCAGCCTGGTCTCAGAGAAAGACTAGGTGACCACCTGTGCTATAGGCAACCCTAAAAGACAGACAGAAAAGGATCCGCTGGAGTTTCCCCTTATCAATAAGTGGTTGCACTGATTTAGATAAAGCACTCAATCAAATTAAAATGTTGCGTCAAAATAACCAACCATTGCTTCACTAAAATGTAATGTCTGATCATTAGGCTATGGACAAGTTGCTATGGACAAGTTGCGTGCATGTGTTTCTTTAAAAAAAATGTTTGTCAATTCATCTTCATATAGCCTATATCACGGCTTTGATGGACCATTTTAGGTGGGTGGGTGTGCTTATGAGTTCGCTAATTCTCTATGTCCATTCAGAAAGTTTCCTAAAATAGGCCTAGCTTGTCTAGACTTCATCTCTTTAATCAGATCGAAAGAAAATTGTAGGCAGCAGCAAGTGTGATGATGGTCTGCATATACAGTGGGGGAAAAAAGTATTTAGTCAGCCACCAATTGTGCAAGTTCTCCCACTTAAAAAGATGAGAGAGGCCTGTAATTTTCATCATAGGTACACGTCAACTATGACAGACAAATTGAGAAAAAAAAAATCCAGAAAATCACATTGTATGATTTTTTATGAATTTATTTGCAAATTATGATGGAAGATAAGTATTTGGTCACCTACAAACAAGCAAGATTTCTGGCTCTCACAGACCTGTAACTTCTTCTTTAAGAGGCTCCTCTGTCCTCCACTCGTTACCTGTATTAATGGCACCTGTTTGAACATGTTATCAGTATAAAAGACACCTGTCCACAACCTCAAACAGTCACACTCCAAACTCCACTATGGCCAAGACCAAAGAGCTGTCAAAGGACACCAGAAACAAAATTGTAGACCTGCACCAGGCTGGGAAGACTGAATCTGCAATAGGTAAGCAGCTTGGTTTGAAGAAATCAACTGTGGGAGCAATTATTAGGAAATGGAAGACATACAAGACCACTGATAATCTCCCTCGATCTGGGGCTCCACGCAAGATCTCACCCCGTGGGGTCAAAATTATCACAAGAACAGTGAGCAAAAATCCCAGAACCACACGGGGGGACCTAGTGAATGACCTGCAGAGAGCTGGGACCAAAGTAACAAAGCCTACCATCAGTAACACACTACGCCGCCAGGGACTCAAATCCTGCAGTGCAAGACGTGTCCCCCTGCTTAAGCCAGTACATGTCCAGGCCCGTCTGAAGTTTGCTAGAGTGCATTTGGATGATCCAGAAGAGGATTGGGAGAATGTCATATGGTCAGATGAAACCAAAATATAACTTTTTGGTAAAAACTCAACTCGTCGTGTTTGGAGGACAAAGAATGCTGAGTTGCATCCAAAGAACACCATACCTACTGTGAAGCATGGGGGTGGAAACATCATGCTTTGGGGCTGTTTTTCTGCAAAGGGACCAGGACGACTGATCCGTGTAAAGGAAAGAATGAATGGGGCAATGTATCGTGAGATTTTGAGTGAAAACCTCCTTCCATCAGCAAGGGCATTGAAGATGAAACGTGGCTGGGTCTTTCAGCATGACAATGATCCCAAACACACCGCCCGGGCAACGAAGGAGTGGCTTCGCAAGAAGCATTTCAAGGTCCTGGAGTGGCCTAGCCAGTCTCCAGATCTCAACCCCATAGAAAATCTTTGGAGGGAGTTGAAAGTCTGTGTTGCCCAGCGACAGCCCCAAAACATCACTGCTCTAGAGGAGATCTGCATGGAGGAATGGGCCAAAATACCAGCAACAGTGTGTGAAAACCTTGTGAAGACTTACAGAAAACGTTTGACCTGTGTCATTGCCAACAAAGGGTATATAACAAAGTATTGAGAAACTTTTGTTATTGACCAAATACTTATTTTCCACCATAATTTGCAAATAAATTCATTAAAAATCCTACAATGTGATTTTCTGGATTTTCTTTTCTCATTTTGTCTGTCATAGTTGACGTGTACCTATGATGAAACTTACAGGCCTCTCTCATCTTTTTAAGTGGGAGAACTTGCACAATTGGTGGCTGACTAAATACTTTTTTTCCCCACTGTATGTGTGAGGAATGACGACAGGTGCCAGTTTTGTGTTTCCTCTCTTACTAAATGGGGTGCAACTGAATGAAAACGTAGCCATGCTCCTTTCATGATTCATCCTACAGTATAGAATGAATAGCCTATCCTAAAAAACGAATCCAGTAGTATATGATTTTTCTCTCGTTACTGTGTCCTCTCTAGCCACTTTGAACAACATATTGCCACTGAGAATGACCGCAGCAGTGTTGGTGACGTTCTGCAAATGTTTCTGAAAAGTGGAGTGAAAAACTCATAGGACTTGGTGTGAATGGTTTAGTGCGTCAAAATCGGAATCTGTATTCTTTCGGAATTCGAACGAAAAGATCGCAAAGCAGTTGTGAGTAAATGCCTTAAGATGTGTGATACTATACGTCCTCTAATTCGTATGATATTGTACGACCGCTATTCCATTTATAATGTAACCTAACGTAACATAATATATCATACTATACAGAGGCAATAACATTTACAGTGAGGGAAAAAAGTATTTGATCCCCTGCTGATTTTGTATGTTTGCCCACTGACAAAGACATGATCAGTCTATAATTTTAATGGTAGGTTTATTTGAACAGTGAGAGACAGAATAACAACAACAAAAAAAACATGTCAAAAATATTATAAATTGATTTTCATTTTAATTAGGGAAATAAGTATTTGACCCCCTCTCAATCAGAAAGATTTCTGGCTCCCAGGTGTCTTTTATACAGGTAACGAGCTGAGATTAGGAGCACACTCTTAAAGGGAGTGCTCCTAATCTCAGTTTGTTACCTGTATAAAAGACACCTGTCCACAGAAGCAATCAATCAGATTCCAAACTCTCCACCATGGCCAAGACTAAAGAGCTCTCCAAGGATGTCAGGGACAAGATTGTAGACCTACACAAGGCTGGAATGGGCTAAAAGACCATTGCCAAGCAGCTTGGTGAGAAGGTGACAACAGTTGGTGCGATTATTCGCAAATGGAAGAAACACAAAATAACTGTCAATCTCCCTCGGCCTGGGGCTCCATGCAAGATCTCACCTCGTGGAGTTGCAATGATCATGAGAACGGTGAGGAATCAGCCCAGAACTACACGGGAGGATCTTGTCAATGATCTCAAGGCAGCTGGAACCATAGTCACCAAGAAAACAATTGGTAACACACTACGCCGTGAAGGACTGAAATCCTGCAGCGCCCGCAAGGTCCCCCTGCTCAAGAAAGCACATATACAGGCCCGTCTGAAGTTTGCAAATGAACATCTGAATGATTCAGAGGAGAACTGGGTGAAAGTGTTGTGGTCAGATGAGACCAAAATCGAGCTCTTTGCCATCAACTCAACTCGCCATGTTTGGAGGAGGAGGAATGCTGCCTATGACCCCAAGAACACCATCCCCACCGTCAAACATGGAGGTGGAAACATTATGCTTTACATTTTTACATTTGTACATTTTAGTCATTTAGCAGACGCTCTTATCCAGAGCGACTTACAGGACCAATTAGAGTTAAGTGCCTTGCTTAAGGGCACATCGACAGATTTTTCACCTAGTCGGCTCGGGGATTAGAACCAGCGACCTTTCGGTTACTGGCACAACGCTCTTACCCACTAAGCTACCTGCTGCTTTGGGGGTGTTTTTCTGCTAAGGGGACAGGACAACTTCACCGCATCAAAGGGACGATGGACGGGCCATGTACCGTCAAATCTTGGGTGAGAACCTCCTTCCCTCAGCCAGGGCATTGAAAATGGGTCGTGGATGGGTATTCCAGCATGACAATGACCCAAAACACACGGCCAAGGCAACAAAGGAGTGGCTCAAGAAGAAGCACATTAAGGTCCTGGAATGGCCTAGCCAGTCTCCGGACCTTAATCCCATAGAAAATCTGTGGAGGGAGCTGAAGGTTCGAGTTGTCAAACGTCAGCCTCGAAACCTTAATGACTTGGAGAAGATCTGCAAAGAGGAGTGGGACAAAATCCCTCCTGAGATGTGTGCAAACCTGGTGGCCAACTACAAGAAACGTCTGACCTCTGTGATTGCCAACAAGGGTTTTGCCACCAAGTACTAAGTCATGTTTTGCAGAGGGGTCAAATACTTATTTCCCTCATTAAAATGCAAATCAATTCATAACATTTTTGACATGCGTTTTTCTGGATTTTTGTTGTTGTTATTCTGTCTCTCACTGTTCAAATAAACCTACCAGTAAAATGATAGACTGATCATGTCTTTGTCAGTGGGCAAACGTACAAAATCAGCAGGGGATCAAATACGTTTTTCCCTCACTGTACATACCAAATCCAACGAATCCTACAAACGAACATTCATTAAAACATATTGCACCTATTGAAATTGCACTAACTGGGATATGTGCAATATATAGATTTTACATTGTGTTCTACAACTCAAATATGATCAGGTCCAATAGCAATGATTGCAACGACTATTATTTGCAATGTCTTGACTTCTGTGTTGAAACTGTCCTGAACTCGGTTTTGTTTTCCACATTTTGTTGCATTACAGCTTTATTCCAAAATTGAATAAATTTGGTTTTTTCCTAATCAATCTACACACAATACCCCATAATGACAAAGCAAAAACAGGTTTTTAGACATGTTTGCAAATTTATATATATAAAAAAAAAGTGGAATTATCACATTTACATAAGTATTCAGACCCTTTACTCAGTACTTTGTTGAAGCACCTTTGGCAGCGATTACAGCCTCGAGTCTTCTTGTGTATGACGCTACAAGCTTGGCACACCTGTATTTGGGGAGTTTCTCCCATTCTTCTCTGCAGATCCTCTCAAGCTCTGTCAGGTTCGATGGGGAGTGTCGCTGCACAGCTATTTTCAGGTCTCTCCAGAGATGTTCGATCGGGTTCAAGTCCGGGCTCTGGCTGGGCCACTCAAGGACATTCAGAGACTTGTCACAAAGGCACTCCTGCGTTGTCTTGGCTGTGTGCTTAGGGTTGTTGTCCTGTTGGATGGAGAACTTTCAACCCCCCCCCCCCCCCCCCCCCCCCCCAGTCTGAGGTCCTGAGCGCTCTGGAGCAGGTTTTCATCAAGGATCTCTCTGTACTTTGCTCTGTTAATTTTCCCTCGATCCTGACTAGTCTCCCAGTCCCTGCCGTTGAAAAACATCCCCACAGCATGATGCTGCCAACACCATGCTTCACCGTAGGGATGGTGCCAGGTTTCCTCCAGACGTGATGCTTGGCATTCAGGCCAAAGTGTTCAATCTTGGTTTCATCAGACCAGAGAATCTTGTTTCTCATGGTCTGAGAGTCCTTTGAGTGCCTTTTGGCAAACTCCAAGCGGGCTATCATGTGCCTTTTACTGAGGAGGGGCTTCCGTCTGGCCACTCTACCATAAAGGCCTGATCGGTGGAGTGCTGCAGAGATGGTTGTCCTTCTGGAAGGTTCTCCCATCTCCACAGAGGAACTCTGGAGCTCTGTCAGAGTGACCATCGGGTTCTTGGTCACCTCCCTGACCGAGGCCCTTCTCCCCCGATTGCTCAGTTTGGCCGGGTGGCCAGCTCTAGAAAGAGTCTTTGTGGTTCCAAACTTCCTCCATTTAAGGATGATGGAGGCCACTGTGTTCTTGGGGACCTTCAACGCTGAAGACATTTGTTGGTACCCTTCCCCAGATCTGTGCCTCGACACAATCCTGTCTCAGAGCTCTACGGACAATTCCTTCAACCTTATGGCTTGGTTTTTGCTCTGACAAGCACTGTCAACTGTGGGACCTTATATAGACAGGTGTGTGCCTTTCCAAATTATGTCCAATCAATTGAATTTACCATAGGTGGACTCCAATCAAGTTGTAGAAACATCTCAAGGATGATCAATGGAAACAGGATGCACCTGAGCTCAATTTCGAGTCTCATAGCAAAGGGTCTGAATACTTATGTAAATAAGGTATTTTTGTTTTTTTATTTTTAATAGATTTGCTAAACATTCTAAAAACCTGTTTTTGCTTTGTCATTATGGTGTATTGTGTGTAGATTGATAAGGATTTATTTGTATTTAATCCATTTTAGAATAAGGCTGTAACATAACAAAATGTGGAAAAAGCGAAGGGGTCTGAATACTTTCCGAATGCACTGTATTTTATCTGTTTGTATATAACGTTTTCATGTTTATGTTCACCTGCCCAGGGACTGCAGATGGAAATGAGCTGTTAGCTAAATCTGGTGCAAAGCATCATTTCTCTTATTTTTTCAATAATTTTTTTTACTTATGTTTTTGTTGTACATTGTCCCTGTCCAAATAAACAAATAAATAATAATTAAAAAAATATCCAGTATGTTCACTAACGCTACCAACTACACTCTCTCATTGTTCCTCCCTCTATCTCGCTCACAATAGTCATGACGTGCCCTAATCCCAGTCATCTGAGAAATGGTGATGTGTCTCCTGTCCAATCGCAGTATGTTGTTGGGGACCAGACCACTTATGGATGCTATGACGGTTACACTTTCGCCGGCTCCGCCAGCAGAGTCTGCCAGAGTAATGGGAGGTGGAGCGGCGACACGCCTATCTGTGATCATGGCTGTAAGTGAAAAGATCTCTTTGGTCCAACCTCTTACAAATCCCTTTGCCAACCCCAACAGATCGTTAAAGGCCCCATGCAGTCAAAAACATGATTTTCCTGTCTTTTATATATATTTCCACACTATTATGTTGGAGTAATACTGTGAAATTGTGAAAATTATGATAATGCCCTTTTAGTGTAAGAGCTGATTGACAAAACCGCCTGAAATTTCTGCCTGTTTTGATGGGATGGAGTTTTGGCCTTCCATGATGACATCACCATGTGGTAAATTAGTTAATAGACCAATAAGAAAGAGAGTTCCAAACCTCTCTGCCAATAACAACACATTTTCTGTTTTCCCCTCCCCACTCAGACCACTCCCAGACAGTACTAGCAAAATTCTTGCTTGAGAAATTGCTCTTTGCTAAGAAGCTATTTTTGTTTCTTTTTGACCATTTTAATTGAAAACAATCACAGTAAGGTACTTAATTGTTACAGAGAAATTATTTGATATGAGATAAAAATGGCTGCATCGGACCTTTTAAGGGTTGATTAGGTCATAAGGACTGTAAGACATAGGGGACTGCATTTCAGATGTAGCGCTGACTCTGTTCCAAATGCCACAGAGCATTAGTCTATTGGAATAACGTCTTTTCTAAACTTAAAGTTTTTGTATGTAAAGGTAATTGCTCCGGTCCATTGTTTCCTTATCTTACTCCACCTTATCCCACACCCTAGCTGGTCATTGCCGTGACCCTGGCGTTCCCCCGGGGGCCAAGCGCCATGGAAATATGCTCGATATAGGTGACCGGGTGACATATGAATGCTCTTTTGGACTGATGCTGCTGGGATCGAAGGAGCGGATGTGCCTGGAGGGTGGAGACTGGTCAGGAACTGAGCCTTTCTGTTACAGTGAGGAACCATATACCCATCCCTCACATTGTCAATAAATCCTTATAACACATAATACACAGATGCAGCTACACTAGATACATAAAAGTTGACATTTTTTATTTTACAGGTAAAAACAACTATGACACCCCAGAGGAGGTATCCAAGTACTTCTCTACATCCCTCGAGAATCGGCTGGCAATATCTGGCCTGGGTGACAATAGTGAGTTGCCAAGACCCTTATGTAGTGAACGACATTGTTCCTCTTTTTGTTTTGTTTTATAAACCCCATGCTCAAATTTTTTGCTTTGAAATCTGAACCATGCGTATCGTACATTGTCTTACAGCTGATGGGCAGCAAGTACAAAGGTCCATCCAGATGAGGCAGGGAGGCAAGCTCCACATCTACATTGCTCTGGATACTTCAGGGAGCATAAGCAGAGATAACTTTACTGTGGCCAAAAACTGCGTTGAAGCCCTCATCAACCAGGTACAGTATTACTAGTATTAAGACAGACAGCTCAGATCTGTTGTACAATCTTTACAATACATTTAGGGCCCTATTCAGACTTGAGATAAGTTGACTTAACATGGACTTAAGTAATAAAATGTTGACTTAAGTCCATGTTTTATTGACTTAAGTCCATATTAAGTCTACTTATTCCAAGTCTGATTAGGGCCCTTAGTAATATATAATAATATATGCCATTTAGCAGACGCTTTTATCCAAAGCGACTTAGTCATGCGTGCAATACTTTATTTCAAGAAACACTATTGCAGTACAAATGGTCAGTTATTAGTTTTGATATCAATAAACTTTTGTTTTGTTATGCTTTGGTTGGGTTTCTTTTCTCCCTCACTTCCTCCTCTCCATTTTTGCCTGGGCAGATTTCTTTTTTTGAAGTCATCCCGAGGTACGGAATTCTGAGCTTTGCTTCTGAGGTCAATGAGATTGTTGATATCTTCTCTCCTTCCTCACACTCAGACATGGTTTTACAGAAATTAAATAATGTCACCTACGGTAAGAACAAGGTTTTTATTATTAGACCATCACAATCTACAGTATGTCAATACATTATGTGTTATAGTTTTTTTTGTTGTATTTTGTGTCTGAATGGCAAACATGTTGGTGGCAATGCATAGTTCTCAGAGTAAGATTTCCTCCTTCAACAGGTAAATTAAATGGTACTGGAAGTAACCTCTCAAAGGTATTTAAAAAAATCCATCACAAGATGGCTGTCTTTAAGGAAAGAAAGGAGCTTGAAGACACACAGCAGGCCATTCTTATGTTTACAGATGGTAATGTTGCTGTATGTGTGGGTTTTTGGTTTTACTATCCTTCGGGGAACATAAGTCTTCACAGTTAGTGGGGACATTTTGCCAGTCCCCACAAGGAAAAAAGCTATTTTAGGCTTAGGTGTTAGGTTTAGGGTTACAATTAGGGGTTAGGGATTAGGTGTTTGGGGTTAGGGTTAGGGGTTAAGGAAAAAAAACGTTTTTAATGGGAATAAATTGTTTGGTCCCCACAATGATAGTAAAACAAATGTGTGTGTGTGTGTGTATAATACAATTCAGGGTAGATTTAATGTATTTAATTCTCATTATTATTATTATAATTCTCGCCATTCCTGCAGGAAAGACTAACATGGGGGGAAGTGCAGAGCCCACTGTTATCAGGATTAGGAACCTGATGGAAGAAATACATGGCATAAACTGGCAGAAATATCTGGGTAAGATCAACTGCTGAACACTTCTGTCATAAAGGTACTCTATTCACCATATGTAGTTCTTGATTTAACTATTTTTTTGTCTTTCAAAAACAAGCAAAACCATTGTTACAGTTCCTTCAGAAAGTATTCACACCGCTTGACTTTTTCTACATTTTGTTGTTTTACAAAGTGGGATTATCTCTGGATTGAATTGTCATTTTTTTGTCAACAATCTACACAAAATACTCTAATGTCAAAGTGTAAGAAAAATTCTAACATTTATCAATTTTTTCATGAAAAATAATACTAATATATCTTGATTAGATAAATATTCAACCCCCTGACTCAATACATGTTAGAATCACCTTTGGCAGCGATTACAGCTGTGTCTTTCTGGGTAAATCTCTAAGAGCTTTACACAACTGGATTGTTCAAAATGTGCCCATTATTCTTTTCAAAATTCTTCAAGCTCTGTCAAATTGGTTGTTGATCATTGCTAGACAACCATTTTCAGGTCTTGCCATAGATTTTCAAGCAGATTTAAGTCAAAACTGTAACTCGACCACTGTCTTCTTGGTAAGCAACTCCAGTGTAGATTTGGGCTTGTGTTTTAGGTTATTGTCCTGCTGAAAGGTGAATTAATATCCCAGTATCTGGTGGAAAGCAGAAGAAACCAGATTTTCCTCTAGGATTTTTCCAGTGCTTAGCTCAATTCCTTTAATTTTTTATCCTGAAAAACTCCCCAGTCCTTAACGATTACAAGCATACACATAACAAGATGCTGCCACTACAATGCTTGAAAATATGGAGAGTGGTACTCAGTAATGTGTTGTATTGGATTTGCCCCAAACCTAACACTTTGTATTCAGGACAAAAAGTTAATTGCTTTGCCACATTTTTTGCACTATTACTTTAGTGCCTTTTTGCAAACAGGATGCATGTTTTGGAATATTTTTTTATCCTGAACAGGCTTCCTTCTTTTCACTTTGTCAATTAGGTTTGTATTGTGGAGTAACTACGATGTTGTTGATCCATCCTCAGTTTTCTCCTATCACAGCCATCAAACTCTAACTGTTTTAAAGTCACTACTGGCCTCATGGTGAAATCCCTGAGCGGTTTCCTGCCTCTCCAGCAACTGAATTAGGAAGGACACCTTTATCTTTGTAGTGACTGGGTGTATTTATACACCATCCAAAGTGTAATAAATAACTTCACCATGCATTAATAAGGTCGATATCCGCACCCCGCAGAAATGAAATTAGCATATTACAAAAATTCCCAAAATAATCAGTCCATTTAAGCTCGAGATATCTGCATTGCATTCATCTCAATCCACTGCATCCGCCTATGTCACACTTTCGCTTGTGTGGTGAAAGGTGACAGAGCTAGAGGTTGTTTGTCAGACCATGAGTCATCCCAAAAATCGGTCTTCTCACAAAATCTGTCGCGTCGAACAGTTTGGCCTACAAACTTTTATGACCCCTCTCTTGAAAGATGGGAGTCTCACGAACACGATGGTGTTCACCGTTTTCGCCTACGGCCCCCACAAGCGTCTTGGTACTCGTCTGAAGTCGGTACAGCCGATCTGCCAACTTCTGTCTGTAGCGTCCGAACAGTTTGGGCTACACACTAATATTTGCAAAGGTGAGATTCTCACGAACAGAACATGTCGGTTGTTTTGCTCTAAAACGCCCACTGGCCTCACAAGACTCGTCTTAAGGTCCCCTGGTACCAGTGGAAAAAATTAATGGAAGTACAGTGCCTTTGGAAAGTATTCAGACCCCTTGATATTTTCCACATTTTGTTACGTTACAGTCTTATTCTAAAATGGATTAAAACCTCTTATTTTTCAGCAATCTACACTCAATACCCCACAATGACAAAGCGAAAACAGGTTTTTAATTTTCTTTGCAAATGTATACTAAATAAAAAACGGAAATACCTAATTTACATAAGTATTCAGACCCTTTGCTATGAGACTCGAAATGGAGCTCAGGTGCATCCTGTTTCCATTGATCATCCTTGAGATGTTTTTACAACTTCACTGGAGTCCCTGTGGTAAATTCAATTGATTGGACATGATTTGGAAAGGCACACACCTGTCTATATAAGGTCCCACAGTTGACAGTGCATGTCAGAGCAAAAACCAAGCCATGAGGTCGAAGGAATTGTCCATAGAGCTCCGAGACAGGATTGTGTCGAGGCACAGATCTGGGGAAGGGTACCAAAAAATGTCTGCAGCTTTGAAGGTCCCCAAGAACACAGTGGCCTCCATCATTCTTAAATTGAAGAAGTTTGTTACCACCAGACTGAAGCCAGTCCTCAGGACAAAAGGCACATGACAGCCTGCTTGGAGTTTGCCAAAAGGCACCTAAAGACTCTCAGACCATGAGAAACAAGATTCTCTGGCCTGATAAAACTAAGGTTGAACTCTTTGGCCTGAATGCCAAGCATCACGTCTGGACGAAACCTGGCACCATCTCTACGGTGAAGCATGGTGGTGGCAGCATCATACTGTGGGGAGGTTTTTCAGTGGCAGAGACTGGGAAACTAGTCAGGACCGAGGCAAAGATGAACGGAGCAAAGTACTGAGAGATCCTTGATGAAAACCTGCTCCAGAGCGCTCAGGACCTCAGACTGAGGCGAAGGTTCACCATCCAACAGGACAACAACCCTAAGCACACAGCCAAGACAACGCAGGAGTGGCTTCGGGAAAGTCTCTGAATGTCCTTGAGTGGCCCAGCCAGAGCCTGGACTTGAACCCAATCAAACATCTCTGGAGAGACCTGAAAATAGCTGGGCACCAACGCTCCCCATCCAACCTAACAGAGCTTGAGAGGATCTGCAGAGAAGAATGGGAGAAACTCCACAAATACAGGTGTGCCAAGCTTGTAGCATCATACCCAAGAAGACTCAATGCTGTAATCGCTGCCAAAGTTGCTGAGTAAAGGGTCTGAATACTTATGTAAATGTCGTATTTCCTTTTTTTATTTTTAATACATTTGCAAAAATAATTTATAACCTGTTTTTGCTTTGTCATTATGGGGTATTGTTTGTAGATTGATAAGGGAAAAAAACAATTTAATCAATTTTAGAATAAGGCTGTAATGTATCAAAATGTGGAAAGAGTCAAGGGGTCTGAATACTTTCCAAAATGCACTGCATATAAAATCAAATCAAATCAAAATTACCACATGCGCCGAATACAACAGGTGTAGACCTTACAGTGAAATGCTTACTTACACGCCCTTAACCAATAATGCAGTTTTAAGAAAAAAAGTTAAGTAAGAAATAGATAAGTAAAACATTTAAATAAAAATAATTTAAGAGCAGCAGTCAAATAAAATAACAGTAGCGAGGCTACAGAGTCAATGTGCGGTGGCACAGGTTAGTCGAGGTAATTGAGATAATATATACAGTGGGGAGAACAAGTATTTGATACACTGCCGATTTTGCAGGTTTTCCTACTTACAAAGCATGTAGAGGTCTGTAATTTTTATCATAGGTACACTTCAACTGTGAGAGACGGAATCTAAAACAAAAAATCCAGAAAATCACATTGTATGATTTGTAATGAATTTATTTGCAAATTATGGTGGAAAATAAGTATTTGGTCACCTACAAACAAGCAAGATTTCTGGCTCTCACAGACCTGTAACTTCTTCTTTAAGAGGCTCCTCTGTCCTCCACTCGTTACCTGTATTAATGGCACCTGTTTGCACTTGTTATCAGTATAAAAGACACATGTCCACAACCTCAAACAGTCACACTCCAAACTCCACTATGGCCAAGACCAAAGAGCTGTCAAAGGACACCAGAAACAAAATTGTAGACCTGCACCAGGCTGGGAAGACTGAATCTGCAATAGGTAAGCAGCTTGGTTTGAAGAAATCACCTGTGGGAGCAATTATTAGGAAATGGAAGACATACAAGACCACTGATAATCTCCCTCGATCTGGGGCTCCATGCAAGATCTCACCCCGTGGGGTCAAAATGATCACAAGAACGGTGAGCAAAAATCCCAGAACCACACGGGGGGATGACCTGCAGAGAGCTGGGACCAAAGTAACAAAGCCTACCATCAGTAACATACTACGCCGCCAGGGACTCAAATCCTGCAGTGCCAGACGTGTCCCCCTGCTTAAGCCAGTACATGTCCAGGCCCGTCTGAAGTTTGCTAGAGTGCATTTGGATGATCCAGAATAGGATTGGGAGTATGTCATATGGTCAGATGAAACCAAAATATAACTTTTTGGTAAAAACTCAACTCGTCGTGTTTGGAGGACAAAGAATGCTGAGTTGCATCCAAATAACACCATACTTACTGTGAAGCATGGGGGTGGAAACATCATGCTTTGGGGCTGTTTTTCTGCAAAGGGACCAGGACGACTGATCCGTGTAAAGGAAAGAATGAATGGGGCCATGTATCGTGAGATTTTAAGTGAAAACCTCCTTCCATCAGCAAGGGCATTGAAGATGAAACGTGGCTGGGTCTTTCAGCATGACAATGATCCCAAACACACCGCCTGGGCAACGAAGGAGTGGCTTCGTAAGAAGCATTTCAAGGTCCTGGAGTGGCCTAGCCAGTCTCCAGATCTCAACCCCATAGAAAATCTTTGGAGGGAGTTGAAAGTCTGTGTTGCCCAGCGACAGCCCCAAAACATCACTGCTCTAGAGGAGATCTGCATGGAGGAATGGGCCACAATACCAGCAACAGTGTGTGAAAACCTTGTGAAGACCTACAGAAAACGTTTGACCTGTGTCATTGCCAACAAAGGGTATATAACAAAGTATTGAGAAACTTTTGTTATTGACCAAATACTTATTTTCCACCATAATTTACAAATAAATTCATTAAAAATCCTACAATGTGATTTTCTGGATTTTTTCCCCTCATTTTGTCTGTCATAGTTGACGTGTACCTATGATGAAAATTACAGGCCTCTCTCATCTTTTTAAGTGGAGAACTTGCACAATTGGTGGCTGACTAAATACTTTTTTCCCCCACTGTAAGTATTTGATCACCTACCAACCAGTG